AAAAGTGATCACAAAATTATCGTTTGCTTGATACTTCTTTAAGATCAAGATGTAGATCGAAACAATTTTGCCAAAAGGGACTTTTTCTACCGCTCTTATCTTAAGTTTAATTTGACTTGTTCTCATTGTGACAGAATCTTTTAAAGCGGAACAAGAGCGTTGCGATCGCAAGATCATATAACACATGTTCTTCATATATCATACCATTTAAAATTTATCGCAAATTTATCGTCTAGTAGATAGTTATTAAACCCTTTGATAACTACTTTATAACTTAATGACAAAACCTATTGGTTTATTGACCCTAATTATTTCATACATTATCCCATTATCAAAGTATAAAGTTAAAAACTAGTTCCTTATAAAAAACCATCATTATTTTAAATAATTTGTACTATATAAAAAATATCTAACGCCTACAATAAAATAGAAACTATTGTTATTAGCAAAATGAACCTAAAAACAATCTATATCTTTTCAAAAAAATCTTAATGTGTTTTACTTTTATGATTTCACAAAAGTTATGTTTTTTCAGAAAAATTAAAAATACTTAAGAATAAAACGAAAAAATAAATATCGTAATTATTAAACCAGAAGAAATGATATTAACAATAAATATACACAAACAATACAACTATTTGTATGGAAATATCGATGTATCTGTATCTTTATATCTATACAATATGTCTTCTATTAACAAATTAATGTATTTTAATACATTTCAATGATATAATACAGGCGGCAAAGCGGTATTAGATAAATTACTAAATACTTTTTTTTTTTTTTTTTTGAACTACAAGTACACATTTGGTGAAAATAGAATGAAATAAAAACATATTGAAAATATCTCTATAAGATGAATTGGGATTGAACAGAGATCTTAATTGTGACACATACTCTCATGCACAATCCACATACAACGATTTATTCGATCTTTAAGTATTTTTATACTCACTCACTCAATTTGTCTGAAGTTATTGTGTGGAAATTCTTTTGATGTTGTAGATCTCTGTTGTTTTATGATCGCTTTTTTTTAATATCTTGAGTGATTATATTATGGGCGCCTTTTAACATAATTTATTTTGTTTGTTAGAAGAATACATATTAATTTTTATAGATTTATTACAATAATTAAACTAATTTCTATTAAGAGAACTACTTGCAGAGGTCTGTAACAAACTGAGCTTATCATAGCGCCGAATATAACGCCTTGATGAATCTCTAAAGTGATCTAAAACTGATCGCGATTGTTAAAAAAAATTATTAAGCAATTTCTAAAGTGATCGCCATCGTTTAAATTTAAACTCTACCTAAATAATTTCTCTTTATTTTACTCTGTTCTAAGATCATAATACAGATCGGACAAAGAGTTTTATACATTTTAAAATGACACGATCAACATTTGAGAACATGTTAGATTTTTGCCAAGAGGATCATTTACATGAAATTTCTTCTAATTTAATTCAATTTGAAGATCATGCAGAGTCTTTTTAAAGCATCACGAAACTATTTAAGATCAATAGTGATCGTTGTAGAGCATAAATTTCAGAAGTGCTCGCTTTTGTTTCAAAATTATGTTGCAACACGTATGAGTTTGAAAACCTCGGCAGCTGATAAATCACATTTTGCTTTCTTTTCTTGGGAAAAATTTTGCTTCATTTACAAATTTCCAAAAAAATTAATTCCATTGAATCTAAATGCATATTTTACAAAATACAAGTTCTTCTTTGAAAAGAATTACATTTACTAAGGGTTTATTAGTAGGAATTCATTGTATTTAAAATGTTGTTGGCAGAAATACTCATTATAGAAATGAAAGTTAAGGTTTAAATTCATAATATTTTAAATATCATTAAAATCACGTACAAAATTAACACTAGACAGACCCAATAAAAGGGAACTAATATCAATTTGAAAGAAATGTAAACGATTTTAGGAGATTTTCCTTTAATTAAAAGTGCAGCAGTGTTCAAAGAAATTATGATACTATTAATGTGTCATTATATTCATGGAACTAATCTAGAATTTAAGAAGAATTGAACTAGAAGAGAGCTAGAACAGAACTAGAACAGAACTAGAACCGAACTAGAACAGAACTAGAACAGAACTAGAACAGAACTAGAACAGAACTAGAACAGAACTAGAACAGAACTAGAACAGAACTAGAACAGAACTAGAACAGAACTAGAACAGAACTAGAACAGAACTAGAACAGAACTAGAACAGAACTAGAACAGAACTAGAACAGAACTAGAACAGAACTAGAACAGAACTAGAACAGAACTAGAACAGAACTAGAACAGAACTAGAACAGAACTAGTACAGAACTAGAACAGAGCTAGAACAGAGCTAGAACAGAACTAGAACAGAACTAGAACAGAACTAGAACAGAACTAGAACAGAACTAGAACAGAACTAGAACAGAACTAGCACAGAACTAGAACAGAGCTAGAACAGAGCTAGAACAGAACTAGAACAGAACTAGAACAGAACTAGAACAGAACTAGAACAGAGCTAGAACAGAACTAGAACAGAACTAGAACAGAACTAGAACAGATCTAGAACAGAACTAGAACAGAACTAGAACAGAACTAGAACAGAACTAGAACTGAACTAGAACTGAACTAGAACTGAACTAGAACTGAACTAGAACTGAACTAGAACTGAACTAGAACTGAACTAGAACTGAACTAGAACTGAACTAGAACTGAACTAGAACTGAACTAGAACTAAACTAGAACTGAACTAGAACTGAACTAGAACTGAACTAGAACTGAACTAGAACTGAACTAGAACTGAACTAGAACTGAACTAGAACTGAACTAGAACTGAACTAGAACTGAACTAGAACTGAACTAGAACTGAACTAGAACTGAACTAGAACTGAACTAGAACTGAACTAGAAAACTGAACTACTGAACTAGAACTGAACTAGAACCTGAACTAGAACTGAACTAGAACTGAAACTAAGAACTGAACTAGAACTGAACTAGAACTGAACTAGAACTGAACTAGAACTGAACTAGAACTGAACTAGAACTGAACTATACTGAACTAGAACTGAACTAGAACTGAACTAGAACTGAACTAGAAGAACTAGAACGAACTAGACTGGACTAGACGACTAGAAACTGAACTAGAACTGAACTAGAACTGAACTAAGAACTAGACCAAACTGAAATAGAACTGAACCAGAACTGAACTAGAACTGAACTAGAACTGAACTAGGAACTGACTAGAACTGAACTAAACTGAACTAGAACTGAACTGGAACTAAACTAGAACTGAACTAGAACTGAACTAGAACTGAACTAGAACTGAACTAGAACTGAACTAGAACTGAACTAGAACTGAACTAGAAACTGAACTAGAACTGAACTAGAACTAGAACTGAACTAGAACTGAACTAGAACTGAACTAGAACTGAACTAGAACTGAACTAGAACTGAACTAGAACTGAACTAGAACTGGACTAGAACTGAACTAGAACTGAACTAGAACTGAACCAAAACTGAAATAGAACTGAACCAGAACTGAATTGAAACCGAACTGGAACTGAAAACATTGTGAACGAAATAGAACAAATTCTAGAATGTTTTTTTTTTTGTTATAATTTTAATAATTATTTATATTCAATATTTTTGCTGATTTTCTAAAAATTCCTTTAATTTTAATAACATTATTATTGACATGTGCGAGTATAAATCCACAAAAAATTTATTTTATTTGAAAAGAAACATTCTGTAACCCCATTAATTTAATTGATGGAGTTAAAAGAAAAATAATACTTTATTTTTTTTTATACATAAATATTATAATGGACCCTCTTTTCCCCAAAAAAAAAAACAATATGTGTTTATTTGTTTTTGATTTTCAAAAAGAACATTTGTTTTTAAAAATTATACGACCAACGACTCCACTTAAATCAGACACACAGAACAAATATGCACAAATCTATATAAAGTATTCATTTAAGTGAAGTGATTATGATTATTTTGATTGCTTAATTTTTTCAGACATTCAGACATTTCCAATTCCATTCATTCATCTTGTTGTTTTGGCATTTAATTTGAAATTAAAATTTCCAAAGAAATTTTTAATAATTGTTTAATAAAAGGGGGTTGAAGAGCAGGGGGAAAGGGGTAAGGAAATGCCGTTTTGAAAGCAGATGAACAAAAAAAAAATATAAATATTATTAAAATCACACCATTTACTTAATGGCACTTGCTAAGGAGAAAAAAAAACAATATCTGATACAGATATAGAGATATGCAGACATTTTTGTTAAAATATTATAGAGGCGTAGTTGAAAAAAGTAAGGAAAAGGGGCCAGTGGTTATATTTTAAAACAAGTTCTCTCAACTTGCTGCAAATTTGGCACTTATCTTAATATCTAATGTTAATAAAAATGTATGTTTCTCCCCCTTTCTCTACTACCTCTCTGTCAGCACTTAAACTTTAAACACACACAAAAATTTTAATTAAGGAGTGTATTTTACATATTCATAACACAAATCTTTAAAAAAGCCACAAAAAAATATATTGATCTTTTTGTTCAAAAAAAATTTTTTTGCTTTTTTTTTTGACAAGCCAATAATCTATATAAAATTAAACCCAAAAACAAACCAGAAAAAAAACACTTTTAATATTTAAAATGTCCACCATTTTGTGGGGGTATTAATAAAATTTCAAATATTTTCACATTTACTAATAATTTAATTCCTCCATTTTTAAAACAAAATTAATAAAATGTAACATCATCATCCTGTTTGTTTATTATAGGTCATTGTTTCTTAAATTATTTTTATTAAATAAAATTTTGAAAATTTATTAATATTTTACGTTTTAATGAAATGGGTTTAAAATTTTTACAAAAATGTATTGAACTTTAAAATGGTTTTTCTTGAGAATTTTTAATTAATTTATTTGAAACTGTTTTTTTTTTTTATTTTAGTTTTAGAATTACTAAATTAATAATTTTCTATTTCTTTTATTTACAGGTTAATAAACAATATTCGGCCACCGATCTGGAGGCATTCATGAAATTGGCTGCCAATTGGCAAACAACAAATCACAATTTATTGGAGGGTGTTGACATAAAACAAGGTGAGTAACAAAAAGTTTTTGAAAACTCTATATTATTCGTGAACTAGAACAGATCTAAGTAAAACAGAACTAGAACAAAATTAGAACAGAACTAGACAGAACTAGAACAGAACTAGAACAGAACTAGAACAGAACTAGAACAGAACTAGAACAGAACTAGAACAGAACTAGAACAGAACTAGAACAGAACTAGAACAGAACTAGAACAGAACTAGAACTGAACTAGAACTGAACTACAACTGAACTACAACTGAACTACAACTGAACTACAACTGAACTAGAACAGAATTAGTACTGAAATAGAACTGAAATAGAGCTGAAATATAACTGAACTACAACTGAACTAGAACTAAACTAGATCTGAACTAAAACAGAACTAGAAACGAACTAGAACTCGACTAGAACAGAACTAGATCCGAACTCGAATAGAACTAGAACAAAACTAGAACAAAACTAGAACAGAACTAGAACAGAACTAGTTCAGAACTAGAACAGAACTAGAAAAGAACTAGAACAGAACAAGAATAGAACTAGAATAGAACTAGAATAGAACTAGAACAGAACTAGAACAGAACTAGAACAGAACTAGAACCGAACTAGAACAGAACTAGAACAGAACTAGAACAGAACTAGAACAGAACTAGAACAGAACTAGAACAGAACTAGAACAGAACTAGAACAGAACTAGAACAGAACTAGAACTAGAACAGAACTAAAACAGAACTAGAACAGAACTGGAACTGAACTAGAACTGAACTAGAACTGAACTAGAACTGAACTAGAACTGCACTAGAACTGAACTAAAAAACTGAACTAGAACGAACTAGAACACTGAACTAGACTGAAACAAGAAAAAAAACTAAAAAAACAAAAAAAAAAAAAAAAACCTAGAACTGAACTAGAACTGAAACTAAAACGAACTAGAACTGAACTAGAACTAGAACTGAACAAGAATGAACTAGAACTGAACTAGAAATGAACTATAACTGAACTAGACTGACTAGAACTGAACTAGAAACTGAACTAGAACTGAACTAGAACTGAACTAGAAACGAACTAGAAACTGAAACTAGAACTGAACTAGAACGAAATAGACTGACTAGAACTGAACCGAACTGAACGAGAACTGAACTAGAACTGAACTAGAACTGAACTAGAACTGAACAGAACTGAACTAGAACTTGAACTAGAACTTAACTTAGAACTGAACTAGAACTGAACTAGAACTGAATAGAACTGACCTAGAACTGAACTAGAACTGAACTAGAACTAACTAGAACTGAACTAGAAAAACTGAACTAGAACTGAATATGAACTGAACTAGAACTGAACTAGAACTGAACTAGAACGAACTAGAACTGAACTAGAACTGAACTAGAACTGAACTAGAACTGAACTAGAACTGAACTAGAACTGAACTAGAACTGAACTAGAACTGAACTAGAACTGAACTAGAACTGAACTAGAACTGAACTAGAACTGAACTAGAACTGAACTAGAACTGAACTAGAACTGAACTAGAACTGAACTAGAACTGAACTAGAACTGAACTAGAACTGAACTAGAACTGAACTAGAACTGAACTAGAACTGAACTAGAACTGAACTAGAACTGAACTAGAACTGAACTAGAACTGAACTAGAACTGAACTAGAACTGAACTAGAACGAACTAGAACTGAACTAGAACTGAACTAGAACTGAACTAGAACTGAACTAGAACTGAACTAGAACTGAACTAGAACTGAACTAGAACTGAACTAGAACTGAACTAGAACTGAACTAGAACTGAACTAGAACTGAACTAGAACTGAACTAGAACTGAACTAGAACTGAACTAGAACTGAACTAGAACTGAACTAGAACTGAACTAGAACTGAACTAGAACTGAACTAGAACTGAACTAGAACTGAACTAGAACTGAACTAGAACTGAACTAGAACTGAACTAGAACTGAACTAGAACTGAACTAGAACTGAACTAGAACTGAACTAGAACTGAACTAGAACTGAACTAGAACTGAACTAGAACTGAACTAGAACTGAACTAGAACTGAACTAGAACTGAACTAGAACTGAACTAGAACTGAACTAGAACTGAACTAGAACTGAACTAGAACTGAACTAGAACTGAACTAGAACTGAACTAGAACTGAACTAGAACTGAACTAGAACTGAACTAGAACTGAACTAGAACTGAACTAGAACTGAACTAGAACTGAACTAGAACTGAACTAGAACTAAACTAGTACTGAACTAGAACTAAACTAGAACTGAACTAGAACTGAACTAGAACTGAACTAGAACTGAACTAGAACTGAACTAGAACTGAACTAGAACTGAACTAGAACTGAACTAGAACTGAACTAGAACTAGAATTGAACTAGAACTGAACTAGAACTAGAACTGAACTAGAACTAAACTAGAACTGAACTAGAACTGAACTAGAACTGAACTAGAACTGAACTAGAACTGAACTAGAACTGAACTAGAACTGAACTAGAACTGAACTAGAACTAGAATTGAACTAGAACTGAACTAGAACTAGAACTGAACTAGAACTAACTAGAACTGAACTAGAACTGAACTAGAACTGAACTAGAACTGAACTAGAACTGAACTAGAACTGAACTAGAACTGAACTAGAACTGAACTAGAACTGAACTAGAACTGAACTAGAACTGAACTAGAACTGAACTAGAACTGAACTAGAACTGAACTAGAACTGAACTAGAACTGAACTAGAACTGAACTAGAACTGAACTAGAACTGAACTAGAACTGAACTAGAACTGAACTAGAACTGAACTAGAACTGAACTAGAACTGAACTAACTGAACTAGAACTGAACTAGAACTGAACTAGAACTGAACTAGAACTGAACTAGAACTGAACTAGAACTGAACTAGAACTGAACTAGAACTGAACTAGAACTGAACTAGAACTGAACTAGAACTGAACTGAACTAGAACTGAACTAGAACTGAACTAGAACTGAACTAGAACTGAACTAGAACTGAACTAGAACTGAACTAGAACTGAACTAGAACTGAACTAGAACTGAACTAGAACTGAACTAGACTGAACTAGAACTGAACTAGAACTGAACTAGAACTGAACTAGAACTGAACTAGAACTGAACTAGAACTGAACTAGAACTGAACTAGAACTGAACTAGAACTGAACTAGAACTGAACTTAACTAGAACTGAATTAGAACTGAACTAGATTTGAACTAAAACAGAACTAAATTACAAATCGAATGAAATTATTAATGATCTTCTCTCTTCTTCTTCCCTACAGAAATGTCACAATATTTAAATAGTCCAGCGATGAATATGTATAAAAAACGTGAACGCACCCAAAATTGGAATCATCAAGAGAAGAAATTTCTACTCGACTTGTGTCGCAAAGACATGAGAATAATCGAGAATAAAAGACTAGATGCTGGACTAACGGCTGTTAAAAATAAAGCCTGGAAGATAATACATCAAAAATTTTCAAATCAATTTGGCACAGATCGTACGTGCAATCGTTTAAAAGAACAATGGCGACGCATGAAAGGTGAGTAAAAGAGAATTTTGAAAACTATAACCTAAATAAATATTAATGTTGGTATTTTTGTTTTTGTGTATATAGCCTGTACACGCAATGAAATATTGGACTACAATAATCGTTTAACCCGTTTCGGACCCGAAGTGGCCGATCGCAAAAAGCCCTCACCTTTTACCTTTGAGGTGTGGGAATTCATGCAAGAAGCTAAGAAAGTATGCAAATCCGAGGCATTAGACGGCATAGACTATTCAAAAATACCTTTAGCTTTAGAGGAGGATTTTGAGTATCGTGAAGAGGATCATAATAATGAGGATGATCATGATATGGATGAGTAAGTTGTTTTTTTGTGGGATATTTTTTTGAACATAATTAATTTTTTGGACATTTTTTTCTTTTAACCACAAAAAGTAGCAGCCGTACACCGCCTCAAGACTTGTGTGATGTTGACATCAAAGAGGAAACTAATGAAACATTAAATGATACCTATTTGGAGGGGGATAAATTGAATAGTTATTCACCACCTCCACATCGTATGACTCATTCAGATTTAGATCGTTCTAGCATGCATAGTCCCACAAATCTCTCTACAAATGAGGATAATAATGCTGCAGCTGGTGGTGGTGGCGGTGGTGGTAATGCTGCTGCTTATTTGCCTCAGGGAGGCAATGATTTATCTGGCTTCCAGCCGGGCTTTAATATGAATAATATATCGGCTACTTTGGAAGCTTTAAATGCCCTGCGTAGTGGTCAATTTCCCTCAGCAGCGGCGGCTGCAGCAGCAGCTTTACAAAATAATTTTGCGGCAGCGGCTCAACAACAGCAGCAACAGCAGCAGCAACAACAACAACAGCAGCAGCAGCAACAACAGGACTCTGAAGAACAAATGATGCCCGCCAAAAGACCTAGAACTTCCTCGATTTCCAATGGCAATGGAGCGCCTTCTTTAAGCGGAGATTTAGATTTAAATGATAATCCCAATAATAATTCAAACACTTGCCTCAACTCTGCCCCCTCCCTTAGCTCTTTGCATAATATTAATAATAACAATAAAACCCCTACTTTAGACAGTTCGCCAGAATTGAGGGCCTTTATGGAAATGCAAAATAAAGAACACATGATGCGCATGCGCATACTCGAAGTGCAATTACAGGCCGCCAAATATAGTCGCGATTTAGTCGAAATCAATAAAACACTGGCCTTACAAAAGCTACAAGAATACGCCAGTAAACGTTTAACCACATAAAAATTGTCAAAGCAATTTTATTATTTTATTATTTTTAAATTTTAATTCATAATTAAAAATTTAGTTTTAATATAAAATTGTTAAATATTTTTTATCAATTTTATTTTTTTTTTTTAAATTTGGGCAGTTATTTTTTTTAAAAAGATTTAATTTTCTTTCTAAGAGCTGCGCTCGTTTTATAAAGAAATTTATTTTATTATTATTATTAAAATAATTATCGTTAGTTTTTAATTTTATGAAAAAGTAAATCGTTGAAAATACTTTTTTTTTTAAAAAAAAAGCACATTCCTTTTTTAATTTTGAAAAAAAAAATTATCGCTTAAAATTTATAATTTTATTGCTAAACATGTGCCAATACAGTATTTCCAGCTTAAAACTTAAAAAAATTAATTTTTGTAAAATTTTTTTTTGTAAAAAAAAAGAAATTATTACAAAAATCTCTATAAAAAAAAGTATACAAAAAAATAATAATAATTTGTTATAAAATATTTGCTAGTTTTTAAGCTAAAATTTAAAATAAATATGTTTAAGAACACAAAAATAAAAATACTACCTCAATTTAATTTAAGTAGCCATATAAATATATTTAAAAAATATTTAACAAAAAACTAATTTTAGTTTTAATTTTTAAAACTAAAAAAAAGAAAATTTAAATTTAAAAAAAACTAATTTACTTTTTAAATAAGTTTTTTTTACACTTAAACAAGGCAAAATCCTGGTTATTTTTTTAAACTATTATTAAGGTTAAAGTTAACACACCTTTAGTATTTAAATAAAGTTGTATAATTATCCCTAATTTGCTAAACTAAGTAACGAATTTACTTAAATAATTTTCTTTAAAAATAAATAAAAATTTTAATTTTTTTTTCTTTAAAAAAATAAACTAATTTTAGTAATTAATTTATTATTTGTTTCCTTTCCTTTAATGTATATGTTTTTTAAAAAAATTTTCTTCTCTCTTTCTCTCCCTAACAAAATGCCATATTTACTTTTTTCCCCTTTTTTAGTACTCTCTTAAACTCCTTAATATTATTAAGTAATATTCTTAAATTAGTTATTAATTAAGCCTAGAGACTGTAAACTCTTTGTATTGCTTCTTCTATATATCATCTTATGTTGTTAAAATTTTATTTTTTTTCTTCAAACCTAACCTCATTTTATGTATAGAAAAATAGTTTAATAATCTTATTATTCTTCTTATTAAGTTAGTTTTATTAATAACAATTTTGTCTTATTTACTTTAGTTTAGTTTTAACTTCTATTTTATGTGTAATTTAAAAAAAAAAAACTATATACATTTTTATTCTTTTCTTTTAGCTTTAGTTTTTTTAGGTTATAAAACTAAATCAACCCCCTCCCCCAAAACACCTCCTAAAATAAAGTGTAAAGTTTAGTTTTTTTTTTTTTAAACAGAACAAATTTTTAAAAATCGAAAAAATATAATAAAAAATTAAAAAAAAATATTAACAAATAGTTTGATTTATTTATATCCAACAGAGCTATCAGAATTTATACCGATAGTCACTTACTGGTGTGTTTACCATATTCAGACTTGTTCCTGAACACGTATGTCAATAATATAGCTGGCAATTTGACAAGAGCGACAGAAATTGAACAGTTCTGCGACAGATTATAAATAAATGTTACTCTATTGCCAAGGACCAATGGTCGTGTAAGCACACCTTCTCGATAGCTAGAGCGTTGTGGCCCAATATGGACCCATGTAGGACTAACTTTTGGTCTTCACAGACTGCAACTAAGTAGGCTAGTGTCGATTGGCCATTGGTCTTCCATTTAATGACTCCTGTATAAATTGTCAGAATGAGTATGAGACGTTATCCCATCTTGTCTACAACTGTCTTGTCTGCGGCTCGGACCCAGACCTATCTGACTTATCGAATATTCTACTGGAACGTTTTATTGCATTCTTAAATTATAAAGAATGTGGGCGTAATCATTACTACTCGTCTCTACTCTACGGCAGTTATACTGTCTGTTTTTTCTCCTGGACCCATGTAGGACTAAGTAAGCTAATGTCGATTGTCACTGGCCATTGGTCTTCCATTTAATGACTTCTGTGGAGGTTGTCAGCATAAGGATGATACTGTATACCATCTTCTCTGTTACTGTCCTGTCTTAGCTGCAGCTCGAACCCGAACCTATCTGACTTATCGAATGTTCGTTTGGAACCTCTTATCTTAATTCTTAAATTCGACAGAATAGTTGTGAATCTCAATTCCCAACAAGCTGGACATAATCATTACTACTCGTCTCTACAACAGTTATACTGACTGCTTTTTTTCTTCCTCGTCGGCTTTGCTTAACTGACTCCTCACTTTCTTTTATTCTTACTATCCCCTCTATTTCTCCCTTTCTACAATCTCTTCTTAAAAGTATTCTAACAAGGGGATACACTTTTGACCCAAGTGAAGCCATATTTATTTTTGGCTAACTGTAGAGAATGTCAGAATAAGGATGAGATGTTATACCATCTTCTCTGTAACTATCCTGCCTTAGCTGCGGCTCGAACCCGAACCTATCTGACTTATCGAATGTTCGTTTGGAACGCCTTATCTTAATTCTTAAATTCGACAGAATGGTTGTGAATATCAATTCTCAACAAGCTGGACGTAATCATTACTACACGTCTCAAAGACAGTTATACAGTATATTTCCTTTCTCGTCGACTTTGCTTAACTGACTCCTCACTTTCTTTAATTCATACTATCCCTTCTATCCTCCCTTTCTACAATCGCTTCTTACAAGTATTCTAACAAATGGATCAACTTTGGACCCAAGTGAAGCCATATTTCTTTTTGGCTAACTGTAGAGAATGTCAGAATAAGGATGAGATGTTATACCATCTTCTCTGTAACTGTCCTGCCTTAGCTGCGGCTCGAACCCGAACCTATCTGACTTATCGAATGTTCGTTTGGAACGTCTTATCTCAATTCTTAAATTCGACAAAATGGTTGTGAATCTCAATTCCCAACAAGCTAAATGTAATCATGACTACACGTCTCAAAGACAGTTATACTGTCTATTTCCTTTCTCGTCGGCTTTGCTTAACTGACTCCTCACTTTCTTTTATTCTTACTATCCCCTCTATTTCTCTCTTTCAACAATCTCTTCTAAAAAGTATTCTAACAAAGGGATCAACTTTGGACCCAAGTGAAGACATATTTCTTTCTGGCTTAGCTTCGGCTCGAACCCGGACCATCTGACTTATCAAATGTTCAATTGGGACGTCTTATAGCGTTCTTAAATTCGACAGAATGGCTGTGAATCACAATTCTCAACAAGCTGTACGTAATCTTTACTACACATCTCTACTCTACGACAGTTATACTATATGTTTCCATTCACGTCGGCTATGCTTTCCTGACTCCTCTCTTTCTATCATTCTTTCTTTCTTTCCTTTTATCCCCTCTATTTCTACTTTCTTTTTTTCTCTTCTTACAGGTATTCTAACAAAGGGATCAACTTAGGACACAAGTGAAGCCACATTTCTTTCTGGCTAACTGTGACAACCTAACCTAAAGTATTTAGGTTTTTAAACTCAAGAATTGGGGGACTCTAAATCTCTTCCGATCTAGAGATCTTTACCTTAGACTTCTACCTCAGCATTGGAATGCTTTGCGTTTCTGAAACTATCTGATCTTATGTTGGAAATAAATAAAGCAAAAGTTGAAGGGGCTCTGAAACTATTCTGATCAAGATATCATTACCTTTAAAGCAGCTAGTATTTGGGTTTCTGAAACTATTAGATCTTGCCTTAGAACGAATGCAAGCGTTGGAAGGGCTCTGAAAATATTACATCTTGTCTTGCCTTGAATGGAATGCAAGTGTTGAAGGGGCTCTGAAACTATCCTGATCTAGGGTTCTCTAACCTTTACCTTTCACTATTACCTTTGTTACAGAAGTTAAATTGAAGGCTGCAAGTAAAAAGCAAGAGTTGGAGGACTCTAAATCTATACCGACATAAAGATCTTTAGCCTTGGAGTCTAAATAAATGTCAGCAAGATTTGATCTTTTCTTGGAAGGAACGTAAGAATTGAAGCGGTTCTGAATCAACTCTGATCTAGAGATCTTAAACTTTTACTATTATCTATTTAACTATTTAGTTTTCTGCTATAAATATTGGGGAGAGAAGAATTATGTGGACTTGGAAACTATTCTAATTTAGAGATCTTTACCTTATTCCTCATGTGTTTTCGTTGAATTGTTATTTTTCTAATACGATTCTCTTGAGATCTTTATCATACTCTTTGTCCTTTATCCTCGTTGTTGATTGATTGTTCATTCATCGGGTTCTACAACCTTCTGAGAAGAGGAAGTAAACCGGCTTAATTTTTTCGAAACCATACTGATCTTAAGATAATTATCTGCTCTCGTTTTTCTCAGTCATTTTTTTAACTGTCTTTTTTTCTATGTCTTGGGAGCAATCGGATGGTTTTTTTGATCTTTTCTGATTCCGAAATCTCTACCTTCCACTTTACCTAAGCCGTTCAGTTTCAATTAACTGCGGCATATTTGGGATTTATAAATCCGACCTCGTTTAATATCTAGTGTTAGACCGGGTTTAGCTGCCTAGTTCTCTGCCTGGAGAGGCTAAGGAATCGGATGGACTCTAAATGTAATATACGATCTGCTGTTATACAATTAAGAAATCGTATGAAATCTTAAGAAATCGTAACACATCTTCAATTTTTTAATTCTTTATAAACAAAATCCTCGATATTCCAACAAAAATTTATTCCTCTTTCTCACAATCCTTAGAATTACATATTTTATTTATAGCTTTATTGGTTTGATCCAGCTGATCTTCTAATTTCTTTTGATTGCTTTCCAAACACATAATTTGTTCTCTTAGTTTTTTAATTTCTTCCTCTTGCTTTTTCATAAAATAACGATTTTCTTCGGACATTCCTTTATCCTTAAAAGTTTTTGGAGGATCAGGGCTAAAGTTAAGAGATCAAATTCATGGTCATAAGTTTTAAAAGAAATTCTTTACAATTTTTTTACCTGTAACGTCTAATATATTGGAAACATCTTCGGCCAGTTCTGAAATAACAGCGGTATTTCATTTTTGAAGTTGATGCGTTTTAAATTAGTTTATTGAAGAAGTTATTTTAAAAAATATAAACAATTAGAAAGTCTTTTTAATTTCATTTGATAAAACAAATCTCAAATTTAAATTACATTTTTAAATAATTTCCTACTGGCAATGCTACATTTGTCTCCCTGCACTACCTACTTGTTAAGGTTGTGTTCTTCACTAAATTTTGTATAGTTAAGTAAAAAAGTGTTGCATAACTTGTGGATGAATAAAAATAGTTTATACAAAAAAAGTAAAAATTATTGAAGGTCTTAGATTTATTTATTAAATGGGTATGTTTCTAAATCAAAATTAATAGTCTAGTCCATTCTAGCCTAGTCTATAGTCTAGTCTAGTCTATATTCTAGTCTATAGTATATAGTCTACAGTCTACAGTCTAGACTATAGTATATAGTCTACAGTCTAGTCTATAGCCTAGTCTAGTCTAGTCTAGTCTAGTCTATAGTCTAGTCTATAGTCTAGTCTATAGTCTAGTCTATAGTCTAGTCTAGTCTATAGTCTAGTCTATAGTCTAGTCTATAGTCTAGTCTATAGTCTAGTCTAGTCTAGTCTATAGTCTAGTCTATAGTCTAGTCTATAGTCTAGTCTATAGTCTAGTCTATAGTCTAGTCTATAGTCTAGTCTATAGTCTAGTCTATAGTCTAGTCTATAGTCTAGTCTATAGTCTAGTCTATAGTCTAGTCTATAGTCTAGTCTATAGTCTAGTCTATAGTCTAGTCTATAGTCTAGTCTATAGTCTAGTCTATAGTCTAGTCTATAGTCTAGTCTATAGTCTAGTCTATAGTCTAGTCTATAGTCTAGTCTATAGTCTAGTCTATAGTCTAGTCTATAGTCTAGTCTATAGTCTAGTCTATAGTCTAGTCTATAGTCTAGTCTATAGTCTAGTCTATAGTCTAGTCTATAGTCTAGTCTATAGTCTAGTCTATAGTCTAGTCTATAGTCTAGTCTATAGTCTAGTCTATAGTCTAGTCTATAGTCTAGTCTATAGTCTAGTCTATAGTCTAGTCTATAGTCTAGTCTATAGTCTAGTCTATAGTCTAGTCTAGTCTAGTCTATAGTCTAGTCTATAGTCTAGTCTATAGTCTAGTCTATAGTCTAGTCTATAGTCTAGTCTATAGTCTAGTCTATAGTCTAGTCTATAGTCTAGTCTATAGTCTAGTCTATAGTCTAGTCTATAGTCTAGTCTATAGTCTAGTCTAGTCTAGTCTATAGTCTAGTCTATAGTCTAGTCTATAGTCTAGTCTATAGTCTAGTCTATAGTCTAGTCTATAGTCTAGTCTATAGTCTAGTCTATAGTCTAGTCTATAGTCTAGTCTAGTCTAGTCTATAGTCTAGTCTATAGTCTAGTCTAGTCTAGTCTAGTCTAGTCTATAGTCTAGTCTAGTCTAGTCTATAGTCTAGTCTAGTCTAGTCTAGTCTAGTCTAGTCTAGTCTAGTCTAGTCTAGTCTAGTCTAGTCTAGTCTAGTCTAGTCTAGTCTAGTCTAGTCTAGTCTAGTCTAGTCTAGTCTAGTCTAGTCTAGTCTAGTCTAGTCTAGTCTAGTCTAGTCTAGTCTAGTCTAGTCTAGTCTAGTCTAGTCTAGTCTAGTCTGGTCTGGTCTAGTCTAGTCTAGTCTAGTCTAGTCTAGTCTAGTCTAGTCTAGTCTAGTCTAGTCTGGTCTGGTCTGGTCTGGTCTGGTCTGGTCTGGTCTGGTCTGGTCTGGTCTAGTCTAGTCTAGTCTAGTCTAGTCTAGTCTAGTCTAGTCTAGTCTGGTCTAGTCTAGTCTAGTCTAGTCTAGTCTGGTCTAGTCTAGTCTAGTCTAGTCTAGTCTAGTCTAGTCTAGTCTGGTCTGGTCTGGTCTAGTCTAGTCTAGTCTAGTCTAGTCTAGTCTAGTCTAGTATAGTATAGTCTAGTCTAGTCTAGTCTAGTCTATTCTAGTCTAGTCTAGTCTAGTCTAGTCTAGTCTATAGTCTAGTCTAGTCTAGTCTAGTCTAGTCTAGTCTAGTCTATAGTCTAGTCTAGTCTAGTCTATAGTGTAGTCTATAGTGTAGTCTATAGTCTAGTCCATAGTCTGGTCTATAGTCTAGTCTATAGTCTAGTCTAGTCTAGTCTAGTCTAGTCTATAGACTAGATCCTAAATATTTCACTCTGTCGTTCATTGATACCATCGAGTTCGAAAAGCGGGGTTCAGAATAGGCAAGATTATGAAATGAGAGATTTTCGTTATAGTTGGGTGGACATTCCGCATTTAGCAGCGCCCAACTAAAAACCGTATTAAGAGCTTCCTCCTTCTTCTGCATAAATCATGGGTTAAGGTTATTAGAAAGCAGTTGCCCTGTACTCCTCCGCAACATGAAATTAATTCAGTCACGAAGCGCCCGGTTAGTCAAATTGGGATACTTTATCTGTATGTTACAAGCTATCTCACCGTTTATCAAACAGTCAATCTAGTAGGTTCGACAATCGTGTTATCATCCACCATGGCGATGTCCATTGACCCATTTGAACTTTCTCTTGTGGGGAGCTACTCATAAACATAATTCGGAAACGATCCATTGCCTAAAGTTGGCCAAACCATTCGTCAAAGAGAACCTGAAACCATTATTACGATGCAAATATTTCGTAACAAGACAAGGTGTGTTGGTTCCAGTTGGTACAAATTGTATTTTTAGTTGACAATGTTCGATGTCTGCAACATTCTATAAACTAATTTACATTAAGAATTCTCTATTTTTGTGATAGCAACTAATCGATAATGTAAATTTAAGGTAGATATTAACAAAATGACTTACTAAATCCAACCCGTATATTTTACTCTTTTAAAATGGTAATGGCCTAAAGTTACGGGCTTAACTTAGAAAACATGTTGCTATAAAAAGTTAAAATTCCTTATTAACAAATGCAGTCGCAATCTAATCGTTAAGATATGACAACATACGAATAAAATATAAACTCCAACATTTACGCTTAAGATCTCAATAATGCATTACTGTTGTTTAATTATTTACGCCATTATCCTGCTGATTGGCATTGGCAATTGTAAAACTGACGATAGTCCGGGGTTCTTTTTGAAAATTACCAAAAATGTACCACGTTTGGGTCGAAGATCGGATAAGGAATTTGAAAGTAGTTTTTTGAAAAACTACAAAGCCATACCCAGAATGGGAAGAAGTGTGGAAAGTGTAAGTATTTAAATACTTAAAAAAACATAAGGATTTTTTATGATTTTCGTTTCCATTAGGCGGACAACTATTCCTCTCTCACTAACTGGTTGAATGAACAATCCTATCTTAAGCATCTCAATAAACGTGTGTTAATGACTCCTTCACGCATTTCCTCGCCCGAACATGAACTCAGTGTGGTGCAACCGGTTAATTCTAATACTCTAATCGAATTGATTGACAAGGATGCTATACCCAGTGATAATGTTAAGTTTGTTCATTGGAAAGATTTCGATCGTGCTCTACAATTGGATGTTGATTTATATGGAAAAGTTATTACGTTAGGACGTCGGCCCGATCAACGTTTAAAACAGGATCTTAATATTGGCGGTTATATGCCAATATTTGGTAGAGGTTTGGGTGAAGATGATGGAACTGATTATCTGCTTTATAATCAAGCTGGCATTCAGGAGGGGAATTTTAACTCTGATATCTTGCGTTATAATCGTGTTTAGTTTATTGTGGTAAAGCAAATGGATTAGATAATTTCATTAACGGTTTATTATAGGTTGGTGATGGTGAATATTTAGTAAATAATTGTATTTGTAAATTTTAATGAGATGAGATCTTTATACAAGAATTCTAGTCGTAATTGTAAGTCAAAACCAAATCCATGGATTGTTATATTTATGTATGAGTAGGTATTGTTCTTATATTGAATAAAGTGAATTTTGCATACTAATACAACTAATTTTTAAATAATTGGAAACTTTAGGTCTACTATAGTGTCTAGTAGTCTTGGCTAGATTATACTATAGGCTAGACTATAGACTAGGCAATAAACTAGGCAATAGACTAGACTATAGACTAGGACTGGACTATAGACTGGACTATAGACTAGACTATAGACTAGACTATAGACTAGACTATAGACTAGACTATAGACTAGACTATAGACTAGACTATAGACTAGACTATAGACTAGACTATAGACTAGACTAAAGACTAGACTATAGACTAGACTATAGACTAGACTATAGACTAGACTATAGACTAGACTATAGACTAGACTATAGACTAGACTATAGACTAGACTATAGACTAGACTATAGACTAGACTATAGACTAGACTATAGACTAGACTATAGACTAGACTATAGACTAGACTATAGACTAGACTATAGACTAGACTATAGACTAGCTATAGACTAGACTATAGACTAGACTATAGACTAGACTATAGACTAGACTATAGACTAGACTATAGACTAGACTATAGACTAGACTATAGACTAGACTATAGACTAGACTATAGACTAGACTATAGACTAGACTATAGACTAGACTATAGACTAGACTATAGACTAGACTATAGACTAGACTATAGACTAGACTATAGACTAGACTATAGACTAGACTATAGACTAGACTATAGACTAGACTATAGACTAGACTATAGACTAGACTATAGACTAGACTATAGACTAGACTATAGACTAGACTATAGACTAGACTATAGACTAGACTATACTAGACTATAGACTAGACTATAGACTAGACTATAGACTAGACTAAGACTAGACTATAGACTAGACTATAGACTAGACTATAGACTAGACTATAGACTAGACTATAGACTAGACTATAGACTAGACTATAGACTAGACTATAGACTAGACTATAGACTAGACTATAGACTAGACTATAGACTAGACTATAGACTAGACTATAGACTAGACTATAGACTAGACTATAGACTAGACTATAGACTAGACTATAGACTAGACTATAGACTAGACTATAGACTAGACTATAGACTAGACTATAGACTAGACTATAGACAGGACTATAGACTAGACTATAGACTAGACTATAGACTAGACTATAGACTAGACTATAGACTAGACTATAGACTAGACTATAGACTAGACTATAGACTAGACTATAGACTAGACTATAGACTAGACTATAGACTAGACTATAGACTAGACTATAGACTAGACTATAGACTAGACTATAGACTAGACTATAGACTAGACTATAGACTAGACTATAGACTGGACTATAGACTAGACTATAGACTAGACTATAGACTAGACTATAGACTAGACTATAGACTAGACTATAGACTAGACTAGACTATAGACTAGACTAGACTATAGACTAGACTAGACTAGACTATAGACTAGACTAGACTAGACTATAGACTAGACTATAGACTAGACTAGACTATAGACTAGACTATAGACTAGACTATAGACTAGACTATAGACTAGACTATAGACTAGACTGTAGACTAGACTATAGACTAGACTATAGACTAGACTATAGACTAGACTATAGACTAGACTATAGACTAGACTATAGACTAGACTATAGACTAGACTATAGACTAGACTATAGACTAGACTATAGACTAGACTATAGACTAGACTATAGACTAGACTATAGACTAGACTATAGACTAGACTATAGACTAGACTATAGACTAGACTATAGACTAGACTATACTAGACTAGACTAGACTATCGACCTAGACTATACTATAGACCTAGACTATAGACTAGACTATAGACTAGACCTATAGACTAGACTCTAGACTAGACTATAGGACTAGACTATAGACTAGCTATAGACTAGACTATAGACTAGACCTATAGACTAGACTATAGGACTAGACTATAGACTAGACTATAGATAGACTATAGACTAGACTATAGACTAGACTATAGACTAGACTATAGACTAGACTATGAGAACCCTAGACTATAGACTAGACTATATAGCCTAGACTATAGACTAGACTATGACTAGGACTATAGACTAGACTATAGACTAGACTATAGACTAGACTATAGACTAGACTATAGACAGATCTAGACTGAGACTATAGATAGACTATAGCTAGACTATAGACTAGACTATAGACTAGACTATAGACTAGACTATAGACTAAGACTATAGACTAGACTATAGACTAGACTATAGACTAGACTATAGACTAGACCGATAGACTAGACTATAGGACTAGACTATAGACTAGACTATAGACTAGACTATAGACTAGACTATAGACTAGACTATAGACTAGACTATAGACTAGACTATAGACTAGACTATAGACTAGACTATAGACTAGACTATAGACTAGACTATAGACTAGACTATAGACTAGACTATAGACTAGACTATAGACTAGACTATAGACTAGACTATAGACTAGACTATAGACTAGACTATAGACTAGACTATAGACTAGACTATAGACTAGACTATAGACTAGACTATAGACTAGACTATAGACTAGACCAGGGGTCGGCAAACTTTTGAGTCTGAAGAGCCAAAATTTACAGTTTACAGAACATGGGCTTTAAAAGAGCCACAAAATGTTTGCTTATTAAAACATTACAAATACTTTATGAATTCACTTCAAAAACATATTTTTTGTTTAATTATCTACAAGACGATTCTGCAAGGAATCTTTCTTATAGATTTTTGACTACAAACACTTTTAGAATTTTTATGGGTCATTCGAATGCGTTTCTTAAGACTTGTTATATAAATGTGTAACAGTTTATTAGAGTGGAGCGACGGTGATATAATTAGGCTGCAATAGAGATAAAATTTTGCACAATTTTTTTTATACAAAAAAAAATTTACTGTTATGTATTGCGGTCATTGAACCATAATTGACCAACCCCAATCCAGAAAATTACTCTAACGATCATAATTGACTTAACAGTAGCAGTATAGAGATGAAATGCGACATCTTCCATCTTCCAAATTTGATTTTAACACTCATAACTGGCTTAATAATGGCAATTTTATGACGAAATTCAACACAAACAGGAACAATAATCACTTTACCAAATTTGGTGACGATCGGCTCATAATTGATCCTACCCCCCATATTAGATCCCCATTAGAAAATGACCCTATCGCTCTTAAGTGACTTAATAATAGCAGTAAGCGACGAAATTCGACACAAACAGGTTTTATAAGAACAAAAAATATCTGTACCAAATTCAATAAGGATGGATTCAAAATTGACCCTTCCCCCCATATGGAGTCCGCTTTCGAAAGTTCCGACATACAACAGGCTAAAATACAAGTATAGTGATGAAAATCAACACAAACAAGTTTAATAGGATCCAAAACTTCATTACCAAATTTTGTAAGGATGCTTTCTGGTCCCTTATTTATAGGCAAAAATTTTATGTCAAAAATATATCAATCTTTCATAGATCACTGTCATTAAAACGTGCAATATATAAAAATTTATAATTTTTTGCACCTTTCTATAAAAAAAGATTAAAGTTTAAAGTTTAAAGTTTTTAGATAGACTAAGTTTTTAGTATTTAACTGTATCAAAATTCTCCACATTATTCGGCTAGCAAATTGTTCAATAGTCAAGACAAGAACCCCCAAATGTAGAGGAGATGTTGGAAAAGTATACCATCGGCTCAGAATTACTTTCTGAGTCGATTTAGTTATGTATGTCTGTCCGTCCGTCCGTCCGTCCGTCTGTCTGTCTGTCTGTCTGTCTGTCTGTCTGTCTGTCTGTCTGTCTGTCTGTCTGTCTGTCTGTCTGTATGTCCATGTAAACTTTGTGGATACGTTACAGGTCCCAATTTCCAAGATAATTTGATGAAATTTGTCACATACATATTTTTGGACTCAATGACGAAGCCTATTGTAATCATGAAATGTGAAATTTTATATTTTTGATGATAGTTGTTAAACGTCTTTATCGACTATAAAACTTCGATGGTTCAACTACCATCCAATAGATGACACCACATACTTATTCTGTTCCTACACCACTAAAATAAATTATTTACTCATTAAATAAACGCTAGGGGGCTCTGTTATGTAATTCCTACATTTGAAATTCTAATTAGATTACAAAGATAAAAAAAGTCTAACAAAAATTTAATAATTGTGAAAAACTGTTTAAAAGTGAATTTTTACGTAAATTGTTAAGAAAAAATAATTGAATTTGAATAACATTGATCAAATAGGAATATCACTATGGTAAAGTCATAGGTCTATACAATTAAATTCTATCCCTGTATCCGAAGCACCAACAGTCTCTGTTGCAATTTTCATATCTCAAGGGAAAAAATGTATTTTTTCATATTTCTAAACCATTAACTTTAACTACGTACAAGTGTATGATTATTTTGTAGATCATCTCTTTTTTAAATTGCCTTTTTTCACAAGTAGTTTTACTTAATTTTTAGTTTTCTATCACACATGCCAAATACATTTCAAATGGACAAGTGATGGACAGCTGCAGGCTAGAAAAAAAAAACACTTGAAAGTAAAAAAATTGCATGTTAATACAGCTTTAGTTAAGAAAAAAAAAGATGTTACCAAATAGTGTTAGTGTAGGCGATACTTTAGGGGTTTATTTTGATCTCTACTGATTTTGCAACAGGTGTGAAAATCGAAATTAATAAAATGGTAGATTTCTTCAAGAAAAGTTCTAACACTTACAGTCAAAAATTCAATCTACATGTTTTTCAACAGAAAATAACATAAATGTAAAAATTAAACATTTAATTTTCTACCATAAAAATTTTTTTTTATTGTTTTTTTTTGTAACTAAATTTGCGTAATTTCTTTGTATTTCTTTGAAAACAATTATGTTTGTCGTTTTTAGTTATGATATGCAAACAAAAGACTTAAGCCACAAACTTGTTAGATTAATGTCACATATTGTGTATGTGTTTTAAGTCT